CAGTGGTGGGTTGCTCCTACCGTCGCTATCGGTACATGGTCTGTGTGCACGTGCTGGATGTGCGCTGTACACATGTCTGGTGTGCACTGTGCACGCATGCGCACTCCACCACTCCTGTGACACCCAACTGCTCATTGGAGGCCGTGCAGTGCCCAGTTGCTTCAAAACTAGGTATGGAACGCGTGCGGGCAGGTGTGCCAAGCGAGCCACCGTAGCGGTACAGTACAGTACAGTGGCCCCTGCTCCCGACTACTAATGGTACGGCCATACTGGGCTGTACCGGCCGGAACCCACCACTGGTTAGCCCCTTGTCTCAACTTATCTGTGAATCCACAGCCATCTCCTTCTCTCTGTTTGAAACTTACCTGGTGCAAATAGCTATGATGAGAAAAGGATGGTGCTAGGGGACTCTGCAGGATCTGCATTGTGGATGAATTTGATTAATAATGGTTGCTTACCTCTTTGTTTAATATTCTATTATTGTCAATGGAACTAGGAAGGTTGAAGAGGCTACATCTAACGTTGGCCACTCCCAAGGACATTTTTATTTTATCTATTTTTTGATGTCCGCTGCCATCAGAAGTTCCCCAAGCTGGTTATTGCTGAGTTTTTTTGGAAATTAAAAGCCATCTGCATCCCAATTGCAGAAGCTACCATTGAGACATTCTGTTCACAGATTGAGACTATGGAACAGCAACCAATAATCTTGGTTTAGAATGCAAGGTCAACAGCTAGAGTCAACATGAATAACCTTGTCAGATGTTGGAAACGAAAGCTCAGCAACATTTGAGGACCAAAGGGACTCAATCCTTGGAGAAAGTTTATGCACTCCCATCACACATGTAGTAAAATACTATAATTTTCTTTTCTGGAAACAAAATGACATACAAGTTCCCGAACATGGCAACAAATTTATGTTTGGAACAGATCTCACAGCTCTGGAGCAATGAGGGAGGAGGAAGATGTTTTAGGGAATGGATGAGTTTGCTCAGTGGCATGAAAGAGCAATTAGGGAAAAGCATTAAAATATTAAGCAGTTAGAGTAGAAGATCCCATAGGCAGTATCAAAACACTGAATAGGGAACATGATGAGCACTAGTTAAACTGTTGGGTGCAAAATAACTGTTGGCTTGTACTTTAAGTTTACTTTGGTGGACACTTATATATTTCATCTGTGATGTTGGTTGTGCTTTTTAATGACCGTTAACCGCCCAGAGTCATCATGGCGAGATTGGTGGCTATAGGAAATGAATTCAATGAAATGGAATGGAATTGAACAAATAACCAGATAGTTGTGATGAGACTTAGGTTAGAGGATTGGTCGGTCACCACGCCTCTTGGTTAGCAACAATGTGCAGTTAATCTAGGACTCTGAATCTTTAAAGACTGCAATCTTAAACAAAGATATCTATTTCTGGGGAAATTGTGCTGGACTAGTCTAAATTAAGAAGCGGGGGCACAACGATTCAAGTGGCACATGAAATAATGTGAGAAAAATTGGAATAATAATCTATGGATATGTACCCATAAACATATTTAACCTTATGAGAAGGAAGGGATGCAAATCAGCTAACCTAAATACTCTTTTGCCTTTCATTCTGTCACCAAAGAGAAATTCAATGTAGAGAAAAGTAAAGTCCTACACTTAGGTAAAAAATAACCAAAAGTACAGATATAAACTAGGTGAAACCAGGTAGTAACTGTGAGAGGGATCTTAGAGTCTTAGTAGACAACCAGCTAAATATGAGCCAGCAGTGTGCAGCGGCAGCCAAAAAAGCCAATGTAATCCTAAATTGCACTAACAGAGGGATACAATCAAGATCAAGTGAGGTATTAATACCATTCTATAAAGCCCTAGTAAGACTACACCTAGAGTACTGCATCCACTCATCACACTATTAAACAAATGTTAAGACTGTAGAAAAAGTGCAGAGGAGAGCAACCAGGATGATTAGGGGACTGGAGACTAAAACATATGAAGAACGATTACAGGAACTGGGCATAGCTAGCTAGAAGAGAAGGACCAGGGGAGACGTGATAGCAGTCCTCCAATATTTGAGGGGCTGCCACACAGAGGAGGGAGATCACGCTATTTTCCAAAGCACCTGAAGGCCAGACAAGGAATAATGGATGGAAACTGACCAAGGAGAGATTCAACCTNGAAAAACAGGCCATTTTGGGGAGTTTTGCAGAGTGCAAAAACTTTGTTAAAAAAAATTTGCCTCTTCAAAACCTTGGTGCGTCTTAGACTCCGAAAAATATGGTAAATTCACAGAGGACTAACAACTGTTTGCCCTTGGCTCATGCATGCTCTATCTGTGGTTTTCTCCTAAGGTCAAAACATTATTGGCGGAAGGTATCAACAGGCCACGGAAAGGCCATGACGCTGGAGATCACCCTCCCATCACCCCAATGAGAGCTGCCTCTGAAGCAGAGTTAGGTGAGCGATTATTCCCTGTTTGCAAAACTGTTCTGAGCCAGCTCCCCAAACACGAGAATCCCTCTGACGTGAACTCAAAAGATTCCTTGATTAGGAGCGCTGGCAGCCCCCCACCCCCACCCCAGCAAAAAGTTTCTCTCGCAGGTTAACAAATTTGTCCGGCAGGGAGATGAATAGTTGTCTGCCACGTCTATTCATCTCCACCCACTGTCTTCTATCCCCAGAGCTAGGGTGGGGCTTCACTAGCAGCAGTAGCTCTTCCTGCTCCCAAGGACCGGCCCATAGATTTCCACTGCTCTCCTCTCCTCTGCTTTCTGTGCATCTGCACGTCAGGCACTGGACCCAGCTGTTCCTCCTCTTCCTCATCAGCCAGCTCCAGACCTGGGGGCTGTTGACTCTCCATCTGAGGGCTGATGGACAGCCCAGGCTCTGCCTCTGTCTCTCTCCTTCTAGCTCCATTCCCTCTTCCCCCTCGGAGCTCCCAGGCTGCCCTGATGCTGACCCTGACTCCCACGCCTCCTCCTCCTCCTCTGATTCGGCTGATGGAGGGGCCGGTAGCCACGAAAGGCTACAACAAAAAGACTCCGGAAACATGGCAAGCTGTCTTTGACGGACAGGCCATCCATTTAGCAACTGGTGAAAATGATGACAGCAGCACCTCTGTGTTTTTCCAGGGAGCGATGGATGGAGGCTGTTCGAATACATTACAAGGCATTTTATCGCCACCATCAGTGCTGACTGTAAATACCTTCAAACTACTATTGCGTGCAGTGTCGCAACAGAACGTTTCACCTGCATAGGAAAGACAGTTATTTCGCCAGGTAGGAAAGAGTTTAAGAAACAACATGCTGCTTCCCAGAAGCTCAATTGGGATTTTTCTTCTTTTTGTACTTTTGCTTTTCTTTTCTTCCTTCCTTCCTTCCTTCCTTCCTTCCTTCCTTCCTTCCTTCCTTCCTTCCTTCCTTCCTTCCTTCCTTCCTTTCTATCGCTTAGAGAAGGCTGTGAAGCGGTATATGTCTAAGTTCTATTTCTTTCTTTCTTTCTCTTTCCTTTCTTTCTCTCTCCCCTCCCTCCCTCCCTTCCTTTCTTTCCTTTTTCTTTTCTTTCTTTCCTTTCTGTCTCCCCTCCTTCCCTCTCTCCTTTCCTCCCTCCCTCCCTTCCTTCTCTTTGTTTCTCTTCTATCTTTTTTGTTTGTTTATTTCTTTCTCTCCCCTCCCTCGCTCCCCCTCCCTCTCTCTGTCTCTTTCTTCCTTCCTTTCTTTCTCTCCTTCCCCCTCTTTGTTTCTTTGTTTCTCTCCTACCTTTTTTGTTTCTTTCTTTGTTTTCTTTTTCTTTCATTCCCTCCCTCCCTCCCTCCCACCCTCGTTCTTTATAAACCTTTGAATACAAAAATTACGAAAAATACGACTTAGCTCTTTTTAAAAAATCATCTAAGATTGGTGCAGAATTTACCACTTGCTTTTTTTAAAAGATATTTTTTTTAAAAAATATTGTTACAGGGTTTACTGAAGTGATGCCTTGGCAAAGCATCCCGTTGGAAGAGAGCCTGCCCATCTGTGACAGAGGAGACCTCTTCCCTGTGAGCGAAGTGAAGCTCCTGGAGAAGCAGACTTGCCCGCCCGATTATTTGACGGAAGCGGAACTCATTACCTTGATGGAAAAACACGGGATAGGTAGGGAGATGGTCCTTTCTAGTGGCACGTTTAGCCTAAGGGGGTGGAAAGGATCTTTCTTCAGATGATGGTCATCTCACATTTCTTCCAAGGTTTAGGAAGAGGAGGTGGCGATGGTAAGGTTGACTATGAAGGGTGGGTGTTCTGACCCCCCTCGTTCCACACCAAAGCACACTCCGAGCCAGAGATAAATTACGGCATTTAATTAACAGACAAACAGGTCCTTGACAGCAACCCAGCACAGACAAGCTTGGATAGCAATAAAGACAGATAAGGCTTGGCAGCAATCCAGCCTGCCAAGCTCCTACAAAGTTCTCCGGCATTCGATTCTGTG